GCAGAAAGGCATGTCAAATTTATAAAACGTTAAAAAACGAGATTTCATTAGAGATCATCAGAAAGCACTGCTGAAACAACCTTAATTCTGCTCAGCTGATCAGCCTCCTTTCTCTCTTGTTGAATGTCTCCGTTCCCTCAGTCTCACGGTGCAGGACACAGCTTTGCTACGCTTCTATAAACGCTCACAGAAACGAACCCACATGGCCGGGACGGACCCAGCACCAGAACAACCTCTACCTGGCTAGGGGATGGCATACTCTTATTTTTTCTTGCCTGGCACACAAAGTTCTGCCACAGGGACGATGTCAAACAGAGAAGGGCAGCTGGGAACCCACGCACAAGACAGCTGTGTCCTGTAAGTGGGAAACAGGCCCCTGACTGTCACAAGTCCATGTGACACAGTGCTGACCTGTGCTGAGAGTGGCACAGGCTGTGGACTCTCCACCTCTGCAGAGGGGGTCCGGATACTGACCACGCCACAGAAACCGGCCAGCAACAACAACATAAACATTCAGTGATTAAAAATTAGGGAGCAAGCACATGATATCCCAGACAAATAAATACTTTCACAAATGCTATTAATATGATCGCTTTAAGGCTCACAATAGATGACTCTGGCCATTAAAACTGACCATGAAATAAAAATGGAAAAACTTGAATTCTTATTTTTATCTGGAGACAAGACAAACCCAAAATGTAAAGTACAGGAGAAAGTGTTGTGTGCACACAGACATTTTGCTTCTCTTTTGCCATATTAACCAGAATACCAAACAGCCAGGACCACCAAGCTTTTTAGTGATACGTTTACAAGAACTAACTAAACACAAATTATTTCATGCAGTGAGGTTGCTGTGGGGTAGGGAGAGAGAGCAAGAGCAGTGGTACTTCCAACAGAATTTACTTGGATGCTGAGACGAGTTACTGGTACTGATGGAGATACATGGTTTCTAAAACCCAGAAGTGTTAACGGTGTTCAATGGAGACACAAGATTCACTTAGATCACTATGTTGGAAGATAATCTTAAAATGTTTAAAGGCAATACCTTCTACAGCTATTCAGATTAAGCTGGATAAGAAGGTAATAAGTATCAACCTAATAAATACTTCTTGGATTCTAATCTTCCTTGTTTTTGTACTTCTCAATTTAAGAGTCTGAAATAAATGTCAAATCAAAGAGTTGCAGAAGAAAAACATTTTTTTAAGATCAAGATCTATAATAACAAGCTCACTCCAAGACTGCCATCTGTTTTCAGTCACTTTAATGTGCCTGTGATATCACTGTCACTAAACGCTGTAAAGTTTTGCCAAATATGTGCCACCTTAAGTAGAATAACCTAATTGCACGTGCATTTCTATTGGAAATGAATATCATAATAACTAGAAAAGAAATCAAATGTTGGAAAATGTTTAGACACGTAAGGCAATGTGGCAGTAAAAGCTCTTATGGGATTGTGTCTGTAGCTGGATACTTACAGTTAACATGGCAAACATTAGCTGGCAGACATTGAAAGCGTGTCTCCAGTTGTGATACAAAACCATTCGATAATTCTTCCGAACCGTCAAAAGCCACCTACACAGCGTCTGAAAAGAAAAGTACAAATTGTATCAGGGCTACTAAATGTGCACAAACGGACAGAGCAGTGCCAAGACAAAAGCAGCAGATATTGCTGCAGTGCAGATGGTTACCTCGTAGTCAATTTTAAATTTCTGAACCATTCCAAGTTCCATGAACATCCGCAGGGCTGCAGTAATCATGGCATCCACATCAAGTGAGAAGTCATCAAAATGGATATCATCAATGCCAAGCTCTGACACCAGTGGGATGTTTGCTGCCTGAAAATGCCAAAGGGAAAGGGAAACTCCTGATTCAAAACTTGGGTCTTTTTTTTTCCTGTGTCACTCTTACAAGAAACCATCCATACATCAGTTCTGACCTGCCAATACATCCCCTGCTTGATTTGATTGCCAAGCAATAACAGTCCTCACCTGAGAACTACAAACATGTCAAGCTAACAGAGTGGGGAAACAGTGGGGAAGGAGAAGAACCTGGTATGAGCAGGAAATATGCTCACTACCCCAACTGGAGCCTGTAGACAGCATTTAGACTGTGAGAGCTGACCACTTTACAGCTACTGCAGTAACACAATATATTCCAATGCAAATTACAATGCTGTAATGCAAGAAACATCTGGACAGCCAGCAGCTGGGAATTTTAATTGCTACCATTCAGAAATGCAAAGCAAATATACTGCTCTGCAGAATTTCTTCATCCAAATGTCTTTACATTCATAAGCATACAACTGCCCTTTGCTTTACATTGTTCACTACACGTTCATAGAACCAAAAAGAGCAATACAAGAAATGTCTTGCAGAAGTACTTTTCAAAGTATAATAAAAATAATTTTCAACATGCTGATTACATATTAAGTCACTAAACAACAGCAGAAGCCTAACATTTTGTTTTGTCCATGTAACAGCAGACTTTTGTTCTGTTCCTGAGAGAGGACACACAAAGCCATGCGAATGAGTGTGCAGGACTGGCTGATGCACACAGATGTGCTGTGGCTGGGCTAGTGGCAGCACCTGCGGGAGCCAGGCAGAGGTGCTGACAACCCTCACGGGCTTGTTTGCCCTTCCTTATGCCCCTTTGGACTTGCCACTCATCTCCCTGGAGAGGGCAGGTGGAGGAGGCTGCATTTGCTGAAGGAGCATCTGTTCCCTGTCTCCCCCGGTGAGAAGGCGATGGGTCAGGTAGAAACCTCGCAAAGGGGCTGGCTCCAGCCCACAGGCCACGAGCTGGACCGTGCTGAATTAGTTAAAAATCGCACGGACTCAGCTGGTGTGGCACATCCAGCTACTCACTTGCATAAAATACCCATTTGTTCATGCAGCTGTCAGTTCACCTTCACGGTTACAGCTTCTATGTGACCACCTTATGATTTCCTTTCTTAAAACTTGTGTTTTGAAACATTGCACCCTAACTTCAACGAGTTACTAAGCTTTTTCCAGCGTAAGGGAAAGTGCCACCACAATAATTGCTTTATGCAGAGATTAAGGGGGTTTAGCTATACCACATAAGAGAAGATGGTGGAAACCTGCCATAAGATAGTATTAACGCTGCAGTGTTCATTTATTTGCTAGCTAGAAGAAAGTCTCTTCAGTTCAGCACCCAGTAAAGCATGCCAATTCCACAACAAACAGTCATGGCGTTCATGCCAGGGAAGTTAACCGACGTAGAAAATACAACAAACCCCTTCAAGTCAAATGTCATCCCAGGACTCAGCTGAAGAGCCTCTGGAGCACACAGGCGGAGATGTAAGCTCTATTAACTACATACTTTGTCTGCTAGTGTACTTATGCAGGCTGAATCAATTCAGCATCTTTTTTTTTAATAATTATTGAAAAATTTGAAATATTTCTAGATGATCCCAGCAGGAGTTACACCTTGACGCCCTTTAAGATCTGGCTGAAAAGCTATGTATTTACTTCTGAGGCAAAGAAAGAAAAAAAGAAAATACAGGGAAGTGCAAAACAGGAATGCTGGCACAGAGACTCTGTTGTCCAAATCTCCAGATGTCTTACAAAACTTTTGAGTTTTTTATCATTCAGTTATTCTTCAGAGCTTTGGGGGATACTCAAGATGCATACTAATCTTCAGTTTATGAATACGCTCATTGCAGTAAATGCATTCTCTATAAAATGTCTCTGAGGGAAGAAACACATTTGTCCATCTTACTCATATGTTCCTTAGAGAGAAGTTTAAATAACAAAGATGCTGAAACAGAAGCACTTGATTGTAAGTAGACCTACTTGAAACTGTTCCATCGAAACTACTCTTTACAAACCTACTGCTGCATTTTCATTAACTTTGAAGTGGTCTCTGATTAAAATTTTCATGGTTTTTGTCCTCTTAAAGGAAAACAGATATTTTCCTTGCTATTTTTTACGGGAAACAAGCACTTTTACCAGCTTGTTACAGTTCAAGGGAGAACACTTGAAGCAGTTGCTCAACCAGAATTGTTTTTCCTTTTGTTGAACAGTGGAGAAATAACAATATATTCCAAATCTATTACAAACTGAACAACAGGATTAACAAAGCAAGTCAGAAACAATTTCTTCCCACGTCAGTCTGAAACTTTTAAATATTTATGAGATTTTACATTCCTAAATTTAACAGGAGTGCCATAATCCAAAATAACTGCTGAATTAATAGCCAGGAGATAACATTTGTATAAAAGAACCATTTGCTTTACAACAGCAATAAAGGAAACAACAGAATTATGAGTGTTGAGACTAATTTGAATAATGTTAAAAAAAATGATATGTTGTGGGGCTGCAGCAGTATTCTGGCTGCACCTGGCATTGTCTGTCCTCAGCTTCTTATGCTGGAAATTCAGCAGTCCAGGGTTTATATGAAAGCAGTCATTAAAATGTCATTTTTTTAATTACAAAGATATAAAAAATATTCATAATACAGAATATTAAAACATATCTATCCCTGAAATTTTGCAGCACTGCAGGACAAATTCCAGTGGATTTCTTAAAATAAACAGCAATAACAACACTCTCTTCCAGGAAAACAGAGGGGATGAAAGTACCATGACAATAAGAGGAAGGGGCAGGCAATTAAAATTCAAGTTACAGTGAAATTATTTTTTAAAGCACCCCAGTGATTTAGAATCACTTAAAAGGCTTGCTTCCTTTTGAACGTTTTGAAGTTCAATTTCCCCTTTCTAAAACAATTAAGAACATTATACTCTGAAGTCTTTTTACCCTGCAGACCAAGCAATTTCAACGCTCTTCATCCTTGAGAAAAATTCACATGACTCTTCTGTGAGTTTATGGTAAATTAAAGCCGGATGTGCCTTCTCTGGTCATATCGCCATAACCCCTGGTACTAAAGCAAAAACATGTCTTGAAAGGAACCATGAACACAAGTTGGACTTAACACATGGAAGGCAACTGCTGTTGCCTACTAAAGTACAAACAGCACTGACCAGGCTGGGAAACTATCACCACTTGTAGGCAGCTTGAAAAAGAGGATGTCATGCCCCTGCATGAGAGCATAAGGACAAGGTCTGTGGCCTCCCCATACTCAGACGTGCATGGGATGGGGTGGGATGGATTGAGGAAGGAGGAGAAGCGCCTTTGTACTCAATTTAGGATTGGAGACAGATTCTCCTTTCCTCATTGCTCCTATGTAAATTACATCACAGCCTGCTTGGTACGTGAACAGCTAGGGGATGAGTGTAAGCCTTACCTTACATCAGCCATCGCCAAATGACCATCATACTTCCAAACACGTGCAACACAAAGTGACTTCTACCAACAATAAAGTCCTAATTCTGGCCACTATAAAAGACAGCTCATCGGAACAGAAAAATAATGTTCCTGGTTCAGTATCAGTATCAGTCTTTGGGCACTGTGGATGAACAAAATCTAAAGGTGGCAAACTTTAGGATACTAAAGAGTGAAAGTTTAAGGGAAACTTTGAAAGGCTAAATACTTGAAATAAAAGCTGCTATTTGATGAGGTGTCCCTGCCCAGCGTGGGGGGGGGGGAGGGTGTGGAACTCGAAGATCTTTAAGGTTTCTTCCAACTCTAACCCTTCTATGATTCTATGATACTTACACCTTAGTGCTGCTGAATACAACAATTTCACAGTTTTAGAAGGATGTATACAACATATGCTGTATAAAACAGTTTCTTTATATTATTAGTGTGCAACTAGATAAGAGTAAAGGCAAGTATTCATTCATACTCACTTTTTCTTCTGGGTACTACATGTTCCCGTGTAAATGTATGTCAGAAAAATGCAGTATAATATGCACACACATAGACACAGAGCGTTTTACAACAGTCTTACTATAAGGGCTGAATGAAATGATCACAATTAATCAACATAAGCAAAAGGGGAGACTTCTGCTGCTCTCACTGAGCATACTTCCTGAATGAGAGAGGGGTTTTACATTCAGCTTCGTTAATGTTACTGCAAATTGCTTTCCTTTCAATCGTACTTTCAGTTTCTGTCATATCCCACACTTGTACCTTCATAATGGCCAACAGTGCTATTGAGAAAACACACGCAAAGCATTCCATTGAATGCCCTTTTACAAGTTAACTTTAAATCAGTTTATAGTTATAAATAGTACAAGAATGATCCCTTAGAGATGGGTGAAAGGAAAGGGGGCAAGCTTCCTGTCCTGAATAACTTGTAGGTGTGATTGCTGCTATAAACTCAGCATAGGTGTCTTGCTATTTTAATATCTGGAAACACATTACCAGCCATACCAACCAGGGCAGAAACTTTATGGATTTCCCTAATGATTCACACAATTTTACAAATTAAACTTTCTGCGTGAGTTGGAAGTCTATTTTTCTGTATATGAAAGCTGTACTAAGCTGAAGTCTTCTCATTCCAGCCAGTCAGATGTACTGCCAGTGGAGACCAGCAGACAGGTCACACGCTGCCAGCTTAAAAAAATAGTCATGGGGAAATAACTCCTTATGTAGGGAAAAAACTGTATCACGCCAGGAACAAATACAAATTAGCAATTTGGATATTTAATAATCTCCTATAGCAGAATTTGTTTATGAGACAGTCTGGGTCTGTGGTGGAGACAGGGCAATTTCAAGGTGGTGGTTACATTTTTTCCTATCTTGCCGTAATCCTCTTATTCCGTCCTTATGTCCTACAAGTTGGCACACACTGATAGGCAGCTTAAGGAATTTTTTAAACAGAAGATACCTACAGTTCAGGGGTCTGATTGTAGTAACTTGATTCAGCATACCACATTATATGAAAACACAGGTTTTGATCCCATTTGATATCA